GGGGCGGACGTTCTCCTGAGAAGAGCAAACAGAAACAGTGGCAACATATGAGTCTGTTGGCACAAGAGGCCGATCCACCAGGTCAACTGGGGTCCCCAAAAAGCAGGGAGGATTGGGCCAGGCCGGCTTCACCATCAAGTGTTAACGCCACTCTTGGCACAACTGCCGTGTGGTTTCCAAGAGTGCATCCTAAGACATTGTCAAACATGCTTCTTTTGGAGAGCTATGTAGAGATTCCTGGAAAAGTCTCGCTCAAGACTCGGTAAGCCCTGTCACCACCGTCCTTGGCAGGTCCATGGCTTGTTGCACCTTGCTCGACACCTGAACTTCCAGAAGACTGCCCCGCACTTGCTTTTCTCCTCCACGTCAGCCCTTTTTGGCTCGCCAGGTGGGTTGACCGCGTGAGTGGCTCACGGTGGTAGAAATTCAGATGAAAGAGGAACCAGTGATTCACTGGATGAGGCCTTGACTAGTAGAACTATTGAGCCTTGTTTGCGTGTTTCAATGTACGGACAAGTTCTGTGTCTCTGCTGCTCCACAGAGGATGCTATTGGTGATAGTCATAGTATGTACTGTAACTAGCCATTGGATGTCATTCTTCCATATGGCAGTCTTAAAGTTTTTCCTTCTCGACATGATGCCTTCTAAAGCAGAACTTCCAATTGTGTTCGTAAGCATTTCGTGCTATTGAACAGTGGTGTTTAATGGTATTTATATAATTGATCGGCACAGATACACCTAAAATATCCCCGAGCTCAAAGCCCGACCAGCGACTTCGTTAGTGCTGAATTCTGTGTTAAGTTCGTCTCTCCTCGCAACCAGGACAAGCCAACTACTCGGCGTCCAATTCCCTATTGGACTCCTTGGCAGCCTTCTGGAGCTCTCAGGAGACAGATTTGAGCGGAGTGTTTGCTTTGGGGGGCTCCGGTCACCGCAAGTGACTCTGGGAGATTCTGCAACTGAAAAATATTTGAGCAAAAGTTGCCCCTTTTCCAAGAACTATCTCGTGGGGCTGTACCAAGTTTCCCACTGGTTTGCATGCTAACTACCACTAGAGCAACCTGGCATTTGGTCCACCACACATACAGGTCCAATGATTGCACCTTTGGAACTCCATGTAAAAACAAAAACAGAGATTATTTGTTTTCCGCTACGCCAGAATCATAGATGTGGTTTGTCGGTTGATATATTTGCAGTAGCATGATGACCTGTCGAGTTCCTATTTGGCATGCCCCCATAGTTTGTAGATTCCACCAGAGGATCCTGTATGCCCCATATGGACATTGCCCATGTCACCTGTGCAGGACCCGACGAGTAGCCTTTGGCGGAACGCTCGGTCGGTGCAATGGGGGCCATGGGCCGAAGTGGGCATGGCGGTGCAGGCGAATCCAAACCTACCGTCGATGAAAAGTGTAAACCTGCGAGTGAACAAAGATGTAATGTGGTAAAAAGAAAGAAGGTGAACAAAAAACTTGTGTTTTTTTCATGATTTCGGTGGCATTTGCAGGCAAATACTCTGGGACGAGCGAAGTCCATGGGTCACCTGACCGAGCCGTCAGGGCGGGAGGGAGAGTGAGAGTTGGTGTGGAGTCGAGAGAAGGGTTGATATGTTTTGGTGGGACAGAGAAACCGAGCAGGCTCTTATGTCAATGAGAGTATCATGGATCAATGTTGGAAGCGCCTTTCTTAGCCCTTGCGCACTTCAACAGGAACCGCCAATTGAGTAGAGTACCCGTGATTCTGCATTCCACCACGCGAATGTGGAGTTTCTTTTAGAAAGTGAACACTGAAGGGTCTCCACAACTCTACATCATTCTTGCTCAAGGGTAATCATGCCTCCATGGGTTTGTCGAGGAAATAACGATCTAGGGAAGTCTATGGTTCTTGGTACTCAAGGGGATGGGGCTGGTTTGCCAGAGCTACACCTTGTATCACTGAGCGACTTCGGTTTTGGCTAGGTTCCGGCAGCTGCACTTCATGCAGATGAAGTAGAGGTCCCAGCCTGTCATACTAGCCGAGCCCTCCTTCACGGTGCATGGCATTGGTCAGTTGGGATGCTACCCATCCAGTGAGCCCTCTCCTGGCATACCATTCGTGGTTCATCCTTGGTTCAGGGTTTTGAACTGGAGACCATGACCAATCAGTGAGTTGGAGGTCTCAGGACCAGCATGATGCGCAAAATAGAGGACCCCCAAAGGCTCCACTCCAACAGCGATCCAAAGGTACTGTAGACATGGATCTGAAGGTAAATCGTCAAGTAACGATCCTTTCCGATAGCAGCCCTGCCCACCCACTTGATGGTTTGCTACTGTTTGAGTCTTGAGGGCAGAAATCCAAACCAACCTGGAACAAGATCACAAACAGGTTCCTACGTTGTTTTTGAATATGTGATCGTCACCAATTTTTTACACCAAACTTTGAATCATACATCCAAATACTCTACCATCTGCTGTCAACTGGCAGAATCCTGCACGACTAGAGACACCAGACACAACCCTTCGGATGGTGGATGCCCAGCGAATTTCTGGCAAATACAGAAACCCAGAGAGCAAAGACACAGCCTCCATCGTTTCACTCTTTATGGGTGTATTGGAAAGGGGGGTCGAAGCACCTATATAACTATACAGTATGACCGTATGACATATGGTGATTTAGGTTTGAGGTCTCCCACCACTGGCGGATCACAGAGTCTTCGCACTGAGGTGTTGGCGCGGTGACCAACTCCCAAGGGCTGGCGATCATGAACAGCGCTTTGGAGAAAGCCCAATGCGGAATGATGCGGGATGTGAGTCAATGTGAGTGAGTGTGGAACATGGCACCTGGGATCTTGGGTTGCCCAAAATACGATGGTCACCAAAAAGTTTGGAAGCAGAATCAGGTGTTTTCTGCTGGAAGGGTAAGTCATTGTTGTACCTGGGATGATGCTTGTCTCCATCCAGCCATCAACCTGGGAAAAGCACAAGAGGGATAAACCATGAGTTCCACTGCCCTGACCATCCTGACAAGGATTCCCTGCCATCAGTCGCCAAGGCATTCTCTCCAGTTCCAATCTGTTGGTTGGCGCTGTGCCTGTTCGATGGGGCAAATACTTGAAGATGCTTGGCGTTTTCGGCGACCGCATCCGTGCGACCAGAGAACTGGGGACAAGAGGGGCGGAGGAGCCATAGCCATTCCATGTTGCTAGTAGGTTGCGATGGCCTCTAACGTCCTTATTTCCTTGTGCGATTTCTTATTCACCCACAACCAGGATGTGCCCTTTGCACACTGTGCTAGACACGGTGATGCAGGCGGAGTCCAGACAACTCCAGGCAGTTTCTAGAGGACAGTTTTTGGAGGACTTGCGACCCATTTACGTCCCTCAAAAGGGGATTCAAGTTTCATCCCGACATATTTCAGGTGCTGCACATCGCTGAGAAAGTTCATGTCTTGAAACCTCTTAGGGACCAGTCAAAGAGCCATGTACAATCCAATTTATGCCGCTCAAAGACTCCTTTGCGTGATCAAGTCTTCACTGTCAGCTGAGGAGCGCATACCCCCAAGTGCCCAACTTCTTGAAAGACTTTGAGGCTGAGGCCAAGAAAGAGGTGCGAGATCGCTGTGAGAGCTTGATCGGGCTTGCAACTGTTGTTCTCTAGTTCTTTTGGATTTTTCTAGCTCCCAGACTCAGACTTGCAGACCCACCACGGGATAATGGCTTGAGAGCCTTGAGTCTTGACAGAATTTTTCCGGGGTACACAGTCTGTACAGAGAAGTCGCCCTGTTTCAGAACCTCTTACGCTGCTATGCCGCAGCGGTTGCTGTGGGGGGTTGCGCAGGCGGCGGAAGCTCGAGCTGCTCGAGGAGAGCGGGAGAGCGGCGGCGGTGCTGGGATGGCGGCACTGGCGGGGCTCTCGCCTGAGGAGCGGCTGGAGGCAGGGTGCTGGGATGTGCTGAGCCAGGCTGACAAGGTTGCGAAAAGAACATGGCGAATATGTGCGGGTTATGTTGTTTGCACAATGGTTTGTCTAGCTACTGCTGAAACCTCCCACTCCACTTGTCCAAAGGGAGGCTCTGTGGAGATTTGGGGAGGTTGGAGAACTTCTCCAAATCGGTGAAGTTCCTCTTAGTCTCTTTGAGCGGAAAAAGGCCACTTCGACAACCATACATTCATCACTCATTCAGCTCTAAACCAAGGGAAGAATTCTACGGTTGTGGGAAAGGTGTGCTATCGTCTAAGACCCTCCCATAAAGTGGACTGGAAAGTAGGTGGGGAGAGAAAGCCCAAAACGATCAAGGTTGGAGGTATGGTTTAGACGGAATTGATCCATAATTCCCATCCCATACCCGCAAATCGTCTATGGTTCGTCCACCAAAACCCCCAGACCCGTGGACCTGTCAAGGCGGTGCGCCACACCTTGCGAGACCTGGCCCGAGAGGTGCGTCCTGCCGTTGGAAGTGACGACGGACAGGGCGTGGCGTTTCAGGGGTCTTCGTCCAATCTGTGCTTGGCGGTGTCATGCCTAGAGCATTGGAGCAATGACATGCTGGACCTATGGTGTTTTGGGGGAGGTGAGGCATTTGCTGTTGGACTTTCGGAAGTTTCAGCCTTGTGGGCCTGTTGGTGTTTTAGTTGGACTTTGGGGTACGCAGGTTAGCAGCAGAGGACGTGTGAAAAGCGCCAGAAAGCCCAGGTGTCGACTATTTTGCTCATGTCGTCATGCGCCGCTCGCAGCGACCAGGTGATTGATTCTGCAGACTTGGAAGCAGACAACCCCCTCATGGAGTCTGGCATGGATTCGCTGTCAGGCAGGAAACCTATGGTGGCCATTGGCAATTTCCGATTTGACCGTTTGAATCATGCTTGAATACTGTATGCTTAAATGAGTTTAAATGCTAGTAGAACTTTCTGTTACTGTAGCAGTTGACTGGCTTAAAGTCTAAACATGCTTAAACCATTAACCGTGGAATCTCATTTAGCGCCATGTTTCAAAATGTTAGGTCCTTCATCCTCCAGCAGCACGTGTTTGTGCTACTTCTCTCTCCGTCAGGTGTCGAGTTCCGGAACCGCTTGCAGACGGAGTTCGATGGAGTCAACTTGCCCAACTCCATGGTCTTTGACTACCCCACAGTCACGGACCCTTGGGATGCTGCAGACGGGGAGGGAGTGGGGGGATAATATACAATATTATGTTAGACTATACATTGTATATCATTGTATATAATGTGCTGTTATATGTGTATATACAGTATATACATGTTATTATATACTACGAGGGCCCTGAACACTGAAGCGTGTTTTCGCAAGGTTTTAGGGTGTGGTTTTTGGCGCCGCAGAATGTGATCCCAACAGCTGCAGTACAGCAAGCGCGAGCAAACAGATTACATGGCACTCCTTCACAGGCACCGTTTGCAAGCAGCCCTTGGTACCACGCTGGAAAGCTGCAGGTGCGAGGGCAGAGTCAACAACACCTCCGCCCTTCCTCAAAAAACATTGCCTTTTCCTCATCGGCCAGATCCCCACCAGCTGATAACTTTGCAAATCCCAAACGGTGAGCGGGGCCACTCCTGTAAATAGCACGCAAAGCAGGGCCACACGTGAGGCCACAACCACCAAACACGGAGCCGCCACTGTAATCCACAACTTTCGGGGCCACACGCAGGGCCACCCCCAACTCTAAATACCACGACTGTCAGGGCCACAGGCAATATGATGAATTTGAAGGCCAATGCACGCCGCGCCTCCACACTTTCAGGGCCACAGGATGTCCATCCCATCAACTGTTACGACCTGGGCGCCATGAGCGGGGCCACTCCTGAATCTTTGTCAACGCATGCAAAGGCATGGCGACATGCGACCTAATTGCAGACCAGACTAGCCATTATTTCCCAACAAGCACATTGCCACCCCGCTTTGTTGCCGCAAATCCATTGAACATTTGGCTTCGTCACGGTGTTGTGTGTGCGCGCGCACGTTGGGCTCAAACATGTTGCTGCTGCATTGCCCGACGGGCCCCACAAATCACCCTAAAGATCAATAAGGCCAGATTCAAACTATACTGTTGCACTTGCGCAGCTTCATGGTCCCAAAGACGGGGACAACGGGTTTAGTTTTGGGGCTGAGAGTTGGGCTTTAGAGCAATTCTTCCGTGAGTGGCTCTATAGAGATTTGCAAAGCACTGCTGGCGCAAAACATTGTTGCACATCACTAGCGCTGGCGCTGTCCCTTTGTCTCATCCACGGCACCATGATACTGTATGTTAAATATATATATGTATATGACTGTACCTTTACATATATATATATACATAAACCTGCGGTGGGCTGTACGAGATTTTTAGGCCCTTCGATTTCTCAGTCTGAGATGGAAAACCCCAGAATCTTGACTCCTGATAAAAGTGCTCGTTTGTGAGCAGGCTTACACCTCCTTCGAACCCCATCATTTTGTTCACTGTCAAGTCTGGGTTTCCCAGATGGCAGGCTTTGCAAGAGCCCCGGGTAGCTAAGCGAGGCTGTTGAGGGCGTGTCCTGAGCAAGCAAACGATATTTTTCCGTAAAAGTCTTGGACCTTTGTTCGTTGCAGCGCGCAGACAACGCCGTCCCCAACGCTGAACAGCTACAAAGTCGACTCTAAAGCCGCTCCATGTCAAACAGAGGTGCAGGAGGCAACCTAAGGTGGGCCATATTGGGCCATGCCAAGCAGGGTCAAGCATGTTAATTAACACAGCAAACATAAACTTGTTGAATTGTCTTCCCCTACGACACCGTTTCCGGTTCGTATTGCGCCGGTTCTGCGTTGTATTGCGCCGGTTTCCGCGTTGTGTTTTGTTGTTTATTTGTTCAGATCTTTGTTATTTTCTGGCTTTGGGTGTTGTGTTTTAGGGTATATATTTGCCTTGTGTTTTCAAGCGTCAGGTTGTCAATATGAGAAAGTGGACATGTTCAAGTTGAGAGGTTAGATCTGGAACATGTCAAACAAAAACAGATGTTCAACATGCAAACTCTCAGATTTGTCCTTCCTTGCATAAAATATAATGATTTCTTCAAATCAAACCTGATTCTTCTCCACTGCTCTGGCACCCACAAAGAGTGGGCACCATAAAGGTAGCGAAACAAGAGCCTCATGTGGGCATCAACCCAACAACTCCTCCCAATCCCAGTGTTGAAAAGGTTCTATGATTCTATGCGATGGAAATTGCCCTCCAACTGTGTATTGACATGTGTATATATATATATATATATATGATTGGTGTTTGTTTTCTCATGTAATGATTACATTGTAGTCACGATCGGTCATTCCAAATTCGTCTCACATTCAGCTTCTCAAGTCACATACACTGGAGTGAAAAAGTTGAGCTTGTTTTCAGGCGAACCTGAAAAACGTACATTCGAGGAAGCTCCACATTATAAAGTTTGTATATGTATCCATCTCACATGTTAGTTACACTATACAAAATGTGTTTTATAACAGATTGTCAAGATGATTGACCTACAAAGGCGTTTTAGGAGGATTTTAACCAAATGTATGTCAGCCCGAGAAATGCCTGGCCAAAGACTCTAGGAAATTGTTGATTTACTCAGTGTTTGCTGTATCTTGCAGACGTTTGCCCCACGACTTTGTGCGTGTGGTGTGTGTGTGTGTGTCGAATATGGAGAACCCTCAACCAATCGAGTCTTTTTTCCGTTTCAGCAAGGTCAGCCAATCGTGAAACAGCGTCTTCATGCGTCTTCCTAAAGACCAACGCATATGGATCATTTTTATACAGGTGGTCTCAGTCTTTGTGTTAAAGCATCACAGGAGTTGGCTGGCTACATCAACAGCCAACTGGGCGACATCCCTTTGGAGGGTGCAGCTGCGCCATCCGTCCCGGCAGAGCAAAGATCGTCGGCGGCAGACACTTTCGTCGAAGCGCTGAATGGTCATTGCGTGAGCAAAGGTGGGGTGCCGGTGGCCGACATCTCCAGCAGACATAGCAAAAATTGGTAGCTTGTGGATGATTCCAAACGACCTGGGCATCCGGCATCCAAACAGTTTCGACATGAAACGGGGCAGGTAATCCGGTTGTGGATTTCAGATGTTGATGCGTTTGGCTGAAAGTGTGAATCCATAAAAGCACCAGCTTCATCCACTGAGAACATCTGGCGGCCCCCCAAACCTGAGACACCAGACAACAGAATCGGCGTGTGCAAGCCGCGCAAGCCCTGCACAGGAGCTCACCAAAAAAATTGGAGCTTTACAAGTCACACACACACACATTGCTTGCTCCAGGCATTGAGCTGGCAGAGTCTCGGCCCATCTTCTTGGTGCCGGGCGCAGGAGCGGAGCAGAGCAGAGCTTGCTTGGCCCGGGCTGGGTTCATCTTCCAGGGGTTGCGTTGGTCAAAAGGGTGTTGATGTTTCACCATAATATCAATATATCCGACATCTCTCTAGAACCGGGGGCTCTGTAGGTTGCTGCATATTCCTGGAGCCGCAAGTGACAAAGAACAAGCTGGCCAAATTGAAGAGTGTATCAGCGGTATCAGTGTATATCACAAAAAGATATACACATAAACTGTTTGGAATGTGTGTAGTATGTAATCTAATGTAATGATGATAAGGCATGGTATGGTGGTATGGTATGGTATACAGTGTATATAGAGATCTGTAATTATATGTGGTTCGTTCCATATAAGTAAAGGTTTCACAAAGTTGAAATTTGTGTGACGATTGTCTCCAAATACGCGTCCCAGAAGTTGAACGATCCATAGGTACCGGGGTCGATTTTGAAGCAAAGTGTTAATCTCCAAAGTTGTTGTTTAACGCTACTGTTCACTAGGTGTTTGCCGGGTAGTAACTTCAGGGGTCAAAAGATCGAACCACACCATCAAAGGGTTTTCCATCGGGATCAACCCTAGTTGTTTTACCAAACATCATTAATTAGAGATGTGTCGACTTCTTCCAATGGGTCTTCACATAGTAGTCCATTCATGGCTGTTTATTCTAATGTGTGGAATTTCATCTCCTTCCCCTTGTGCTTTGTTTGAATTGAAGCGTCTTCGATTTTGAGATAAATCCATGTTGAGTTCATCTCAAAAGTCGAAGGTCCGAAGGGCCTTTGAGACCATAGAGTCGGAGAAGATTCGGTCAGCCGACACCTGAGTTACAGGCCCCGATCTGCCAGGCATGCAGGCAGGCAGCTTCCGGGTTTTGGCCAACCGCTTGGGCGTCCCTGCTTACGGCCTCAGCTGGCCGCCTGGGCTTCCCCGAAGCCAGTGGCCCTCGAGTCTCCAGGCAAGGTCTTGAGGGTGACTCCCGGAGACATATTTAAGGGCTGCCGCCCCTGCCGCCGACCCCGGAAACACCTCCCGGTAGCCATTTTAGCTTGGTTTGCCAACATTGAAGATAGAAGAGTGAATTGCGCGAACATCACAACAGAGTACCACGACCACTGCATAGCAGTACGACTTGAGCAACATGAAAAATATTTTTGAGGAGATGAGATGTCGATTGAAGGGGTTACATACCCATCTAGGTCTCAGGTCTGAGCAAAGCCAAAAAAACCACAATCCAAACCAAATACCGTACCTTCCTGCGTCGGCATCCATCAGGAGAGGATGGCCACCAGATGTGTGACGCATGTTGCGCAAGACAGGCGCAGCAGCGCAAACGCCAGCGTATCGCGTCTAAGTGCAACGCGCGTGTAGCGTCGCTGCGCCAACGAATCCACCGAGAACACATCCTGCAAGAAATCAAAGACCTCATCGCCAGGGAAGTCCACGCACGCAAACGTCTGGCTCAGACGACCCCCGGCGCACAGGAAACCACCGCCGCAAAGCGGCCCAAACAAAGCGCAGGTGCTGTGGCACCACGCGCGAAACCAAACATTTCTATCGAGCCACCGCAGAGCACAGTCCCGCACAGTAATCGTCAAACACAACGCCAAACCACGACAGAGAATCTACCCAAACCACAATCCAAAAAAGGAAAACCCACCACGACAAGCGCGCAGCCACACGCGCCAACACATGGCCGCGCATTGGATCCGGAGGTGCCTGGGGCAAATCGTGGACGTGAAGTCAAAGAAAAGCAAAAGCAGGAGTACACATGCCCGCATTGTGGGGGCCTGGTCGTAAGCAATGTCACGACGGGACAACTCGATCACCGGACAGTGTGCGGCCACCGGTTTTGCGTCAGGGATGGAACAGTCCAAGAAAAGAAAACGCATGAGTACACATGCCCGCATTGTGGGGGTCTGGTCGCAAGCAATGTTACGACGGGACAAATTGATCACCGGACAGTGTGCGGCAACCGGCTTTGCGTCAGGGATGGAACAGTCCAAGAAAAGCAAAAGCATGAGTACACATGCCCGCATTGCGGGGGCCTGGTCGCAAGCAACG